TGAATGATCCTTTTTTGTTAATAATTTTAATTATATTTGGACGACATGTTATCGTGGTTTCATTGCTAGTAAAAAAACTTAAAATATATTTCAATAAATTATGTATGGCAATAATATTGTACATTTAAATAAATTTATAAAATAAAAAGTATTTCAATAATAAAATAATAACAAATCATTATTATTCAAATTTAAACAAATTGGATTTTTGAAATATTTCATACTCAAAAAATTGATTAATTTTTATTTAAAATCATCGAATAAAATCATAAAAAGTATTATATAATTTTTTTAATTAAATTATCAAAAAATTTAAATTAATTTTCAAATTATTATTTAGAGGTGGGGTTATAAACCGCCTCCAAAAGGAAATATCAAACTGCTTTAAAAAATCATGTTGCTTATGTAGAGGCTGTGACGAATCGCCTCCAAAGAAAATACAAAGGCGGTTATAAACCGATGTGAAATATCTTATGACTTAATTAGAGGCTATGACTAACCGCCTCGAAAAGAAAATACAGATGCGCTTATAAACCGACGCGAAATGCCTTATGACTTAATTAGAGGCTATGACTAACCGCCTCGAAAAGAAAATACAGACGCGGTTATAAACCGACGCGAAATACCTTATGACTACTTAGAGGCTGTGACTAACCGCCTGCAAAAGGAAATACATAGGCGATTTCTAACCGACTCCAAAACCTTATTACTTATCTAGAGGCGGTTCCGAACCGCCTCCAAAAGTAATATATAGTAAATTTGATGATCATTATGTGGCGGCCACACCGCCTTCATAACCGTCGTTATATTGATCTCGGCGATCATTTCAGCAGTTATTTTGACCGTCGTTGATTCCTTCCCGACGATTGATTTGGCGACGTTTGTTTAACCTCCGCACTACTATTTTCGTGACGGTTCTAACCACGTCAAAATGTTAATTCAACCGTCGCAAAATACACCTTTTGTTGTAGTGTAAAACTATAGGCATCAATGGTGGAACAAGAATTTTGTCTTGGGGGAGGGGGTGAGGTTTCACAAGGATAGCAAAACTTAAGAGAAAAACTAGAAAAAAAAAAAAAACAACATGCTTCCTTCACATTTTAAGATAGGGTGTCATCGCCCATCCTAACCCAAGGGGACTTTGGCATTGATAGGCACATAGCTTACAAATTTTGAAAGAGTAATAATATATATTACCATCATTTATCTTGACATACATTTTGATTAAATAATTCTATAATGTACTACAACTTGTTTTTTCAACCGTCTATAGTTTATAGATATAGCATATGTAACTACCTTTTTTTTCAAAACATGAAGAGACACTACAACAAAAATGATATTTTTTAATATACAAAAATGACATTTAACCACAACAATTTAGTGATGACTAAAGTACATACGTTGCAATTAGGGTGTTGTAGTTGTCCCTTTAATCCATCTAAATGCTCAGGCTTCTCTGCTGACCATAACTCAAGCTTAGCCAAATACAAAAAGCCCTTCCAAGACCCATCACCACAACGACTTCTCTTCTAAAACTTGAAGAGCATTCCCTAAAATCAAACCAACTTATTGGCCTCTTAACCCTTTTTCTAAGTTGAGATTCTTATCAACTATAAATATTTGTTTGCTTGTAATTATTATTTATGCTATTATTTGTTTTATTTAAAATATAGATTTTTTTTAAGTTTATTTCCTTTTACTTTTAGAATTAATTTATAAACATTGGATAATATTTTTACTAATTTTTTAATGTCATAAGCAAAATAATTTTATTTTGATCAATAATTTTATTTGCTACTCGTTTTTGTTATAATTTAATTATAAAGAGAAAACGACATGATAAATTTAGATCCCACTGTATAGAGAAACCATACAACGAAGTTTAAATCTCCAAATGTTGAGATGTCTAAATCCCTAGAAGTTTTTTCAGTTACTAACACCGATTTGAGAATCAACTTCTCACTCTATTTTGTTACTTATCGCTCCATCTATTTGGAGATCCTTTTAAATCCTTCATCCTTCTAATCTGATTCAAGGCTTGAGTCGAGGTTCGTTGATTCAAGGTTTGCTCTCTCTTTCCCTATTCCTCACATCAATACAAGTGTTTTTTTATCTGACATGAATTTCGTGATCAAATCTAATAGCTTGATCTACAAATTTTAAGATAGGTTTGCTATCTCTTTCCCTAATCATATCTCTGTCTCTCTTTTTAATTAATTTAATCAATATAAGGCTTACCACGCTAATATAAGAGAAACGCTAAGTAAATATTACAAAAAGACAAAGAGGGAGGAGGGTGTTAGAAACTTAGTATAATTGAGGATGTTGTAATTGATCATACCATGTGCTTATGTCTGTGGTTGTTTTGTTTTGCGAATATACTTCTTATAAGTTGATATACTTGTCCACGAGTATACGTCACATGGAAGCCACTACTACAATGACAAGATTACTACCTATAGGGAATGTTCGTAAGATTGTAGAGCAAGCCAAGCAGACATGCTGAGCTTGCAAGTTAAGCAATAACTTAAAATTGTATCAAGGATTCAAGCTTGTACTGTAAAGGGTTCAGAAAGAGGAAATAATGATACTGAAGGATACATGATTGGGTAAATTTTATTTATGAAGTACTTTCTATATGTATTTTTTAATTGGGTTACTCCATGCTTGGAGGTGAAGCTAAAGGGACCGACATAACATTGTACATTAATTATACGGAACTTTAAAAATCTCAAGAGATTACAAACGGGGTGATTTCGAAATTATAAATCTGACCTTGGGTTGCATAAATGAAATAGAAACTCAAAGGACGATTTTTAAATAGAATCTTGCTTAGTAGGCCAATTAACGAAGAATTGAAATTCGCAGCATGCTTCTTTCACAAAAAGGGAGGCCAATTACGTAGTGAACGATATATGTTTGGATAAATTGGTTAACCAGTAATTCTGAAGCATGAACTCTCATTCGAGAGTAGCTGTTATGGGAAAAATAATTTGATTGTTTAATAGCATAAGGGTTGCTCTATCCTAGCCCCACATATAAAGCATAAGGTAGTCTTTTTATATTGCAGAATATTTTTGTTAAGAATGCACTTAAGAGGTATGTTTAGAGCTTACTGATAGCTTAGAATTTCCTACTACATAAATTTCTTTTATGGTTTGATATAATTTTTTTTTTTTTTTTATCAACTGTAAATAAATTATTATATTTTGTATATACTTAAACTTAAAAATAATTTAAATTTTAAAATAATATATTTTTAATATTTAACCTAAATGCGTATTTCTATGATAGACAAATGACATTTTTTTGAAAACAATTATTATTTTTTAAATAATAAACCGGTGACGCTTTGTAGAGTTTTAGAGATGTTTGAACTTTTAATAATAATGCAGAGAAGGTCCCTTTCGATTGCGTTAGTTTGCCTACTGTTTCTAATTTTCCAATTCCATGTTCTTCAAGTCAACAGTACCATAATAATAAAAAAGGGATTGATATTTTTAGGAGATAATTTTATCTCTGCTGTACATATAAAATTATGTATATTTCATATTTTTTTTGTCTTTTTTCTTTTAAAATAGTCCCACATTGATCCTATGCACTTTTATGAGTACATAAAAAATAAAATTATTTTTTATAACATATAAAAAAACATTAATTCCTAATAATATAATAACGCTCACCAAGAAATGAAGGGCCTGTTTAGAGTACTAATAAAGAAAATAGTATAGGATAAATTATTATATCCTATTTTTATCTCTTGTTTGGTGGGTCAATAGGATATGATTAGCTTATCCTATTGCTTCATTTTATCTTATCTAATACATGATTTCTTATCTTATTAGGGAAGCTGGGTTAGGATTCAATAGGATAGGATACCAATATTGAATACCCAATATATCTCAACGCTACCCAATACATCCCACGCTACTCAATATATTTATATTTATTGCATTATATTTTATTTTTTTTCTCTCCTTTCTCTTCTACATAATCTTATAAGATTGCTAATCAATGCTCATCAAACACAGGACATGATATAGATTTATCAGTCTCATATCATATCTTATCCTTATCCGTCCCATATCATATCATATCTTTATCCTATCCACCAAACGAGTCCGAAAGCCTTATCAACCTCATATCATATTCTATCCTTATCTTATCCACCAAATCAGTCCGAAAGCTCAAAGCTTCGGGCTACGAACAACTCCCCCACATAATGATGACGGTTTTAATAATTACGTGACACCCAGGAAATATTAAGTTTGACTATTCATACTAGCAAGTCCCCGAACCCAATTTATATTAATAAAGGTTATTGTTGCTCAACAAAAAATGGGAGCAAAGCAATAATGAGTCCGGCGTCAAACTCAGAAAGTGAAGAAACCTTTGTAGCTGTTTCTACGGATGATGATCACGAGTACTTTCAGTTTCGGAAAAGCACTTTAACATAAACCCATCTTTTATTAGAAGCAATAATGAGGGTGATTGAGTACTGTAACCAACGATAAAAATCACACAAACTTCGAGCAAAAAGTATCTGAAATTTCCATTCCTTATTCGCTGTCTCCACCATGCCACCCACTATCATTCATAATCATACCTATAATTTCTTGCCTTGTGCTTCTAAGCACGTCCCCATCACCTCAAAAGCCGGGTCCCCCTCAACAATTTAAAACCAATCGTCCCAATAATTGATGAACAGGAGTGAGATAGCCGTAAGAAAGAAATATCATATTTCATTTGGCAAAATTATTGAGTAAAACTTATTTAAAATAAACATTTAAAAAGTAAATAAATAAAATATATATTTCATTAATTTAAAATAGTTTATTTTAAATGTAAATAAATAAATATATATTTCATTAATTTAAAATATATTATAATTCAAATTTATTAAAGTTTAAGAATAAGTATATTTAAAATAAACATTTTAAAAAAGTTTTGTTAATTATGTATATTAATCAATTAAAATTAAATTCACGGAAAATTAAAGAAAAAATGAACAATTACAAGCGGGACCCGTATCAAATTTGTTCAAATAATGATTCTCACGTGACAGGAGGAAGTTTAGCATGGTGCCTATTCATGATGGGGATGATGCTGCTGCTGGTGACGTCGTCCCTTGCGTGCATTAACAACCGTTGACTCATGCGAATCGCAAACCTGAGTTTTGAACTTGCAACCGAACTTCCGCCCCAGCGACGCCCTCCAGCCGCCGTCACCTTCGCCGTGTGGGCCAGACTTGTCAATCTTCTCGATCACTCTCTTCATTGAGGAACACTCGCGTTCCAGCTGATGCACCCGCGTCCTCATGCTATCCATATCCAAGCGCAGCACCTGATTCTCCCTCACCGCCACCCGCCACGTGCTGCTCCCGTCTTGCACGTGCTCTAATCCTAACCCTAATCCTTCTCCGCTAACTTCCTCTTCGCGTTCCAGCGCCGCCGAGGGACGCGACGGCTCGGCTGCAGCCTCCGCCGCCATCAGCGTTCCAGCGATGGCGTGACGCAGCTGAAGCTGCTCGAAGAAAAGCACCTGAACCACCGCGCGCAGCGGAAGCCTCTCATTTTGCGCCGCGTGCGTGCACGCCTCTAGCGTCAGCTTCTGACAGTCCAACAGTGCGCAAATCTTCTCCCTATCCGATTCCGATACCCATGGATGTGCCTGCAAAGCAACAGAATCAGCAATTTCTTCGTTAGTTTTTGAATCTGAATCCGTTTTTGCAAATGAGAAAAAGGCAACTCAGCAACCGAATCAGTACCTTGAGATACACATCGACGGCGCGGTAGAGACCGTCGTCGAAGAGTCTCGCCTGATCAGGAAGGGAGATGGCGAAATTGTAGAATTTCTCCGGCTTGAGATTCGCGTCGGAAGCTATCTCGGAGAGGTAGCCGTCGATGAGTTTCCCGACTAGCATCAGCGACGGAGACCTCGTCGCACCGTCACCTCCTTCAATTGCAGCGGCTGCGGCGTTGTTTCTTGCTTCTAAACCATCCAAGAAGTGACTCAAAATCCTCTCTGCGCAATCGACGTCGTATAGCGTTTCGTTCAGGTACGAATAGCTCGGCACGAGAAGGTCGTCGAGCGTGGCTTCTTCGAGCTGCGAGCCTATCTTCCTCTCCAATGCGTCTCTGCAGGCTGCGGAAGAGTTCAGTATGTTCGCCGTTCGCAGCAATCCGAATAGAAACCTCGTGGCAGTCGCCGACTTCGAACTCTTTTCCGTAGGAAGATTCGAAACCACCGTCTCCAGAAGCTCCTTCTGCTCCGCCTCCGACGGAACAGACGACGACGACGGTAACGGCTTCCTATTCGATCTCGAAACACCAGGAATGTGCTTTTTGGCATAATACATCACGCAAGTTTCTATAATCTCAGGGCACAGTTCCGCGCCTCTCATCGCAAGAATCAATTCCTTGAACAGAGGCAAACGCAGAAGCGCGAGATCTTCGAACCAAGATTCTCCGGCTCCGGCACCGCCCTTTCTTCTTCCGGCGGCGTCAATTCCATTCCAGAGGACCTGTTTGGATGCAGAAGCGGAGTCGTTCACCGGCCAGCCAAACAAAGCGGGATCCACCGACGAAGCCCTGGAAACTACGGAATCGATGCATCTCGGCGTGATTCCCAGATTCTCCGACATAGGCATCAAGCGTTCACAGGATTTTAGGGTTTTGATGGAGTCCCTGAGGCTCTTGAGCACGTGCTGGGAGAGGAACCTCTCAGTCTTGGAAACGAGGTTGTCCTCGGAGTAGTCTTCTGTCATCTCAAGAAACTCGCCGGCGCACCGCAGAGAAGCCACATTGGAAGGGGACAGGTCGATCTTCACGCCGTAACAGAATTTCGCCGCCATTTCAAACGCCTCAGAGCCGCCGGGGAAACCCGCGAACGTCACGTGACACTGTTCTTCCACGATTTCGTCTTCATCCAAGTCTTCGTCTTGTTGTTGTTGTTGATGCTGGGGGACAGAGGAATGAGATGCTTCTTCTTGCTGGGTAATGAGGAAGTGGAGCTTTCGGCTTTTTGACATCAGAGGAAACTGAAATGGGTATCAGAGACAAATTTCAGAGCATGGTGTACGGGAATATTGTCACTACCGGAAGTGGAAATAGACCCATGTTTGGGTATGTGTATATATGTATATGTGTGTTTGTGAGAGAAAATTGGTATTATGTGTTGTAAGGGTTACCTTATGGAGATGGAAGGTCATATCGTCCACTTCGACCACAATGTCACTTGGCAATCCAGTAGTGCAGAACCTGCAAAGTATAATTGTGAGAAAATCTTGTAGAAAATGGAAGCATAAAGTTAAAACTTCAAAGAAGGTAAGCTATTTGTCTAACCATGCTTGCCCTTTCGAGCTGGGCTTTTCTGCTGATGACATTTTTCTCTGTATGATTCTTTCTCCACGAATCTCGGTCTAGGTTACTGGACAGCCAGATCCATGAATATCACAAGGATGCAGATGATTTCAGTATAGAATGGACTCCAAAGACACTGAAAACTTTGCGACTATGAGAGATTGGATGCAAACAAATGTGAGGGGATGTGAATGTGAACACCCAGAATTTTGGTAGTCTTGCAGAGGGTGAAATAGACTTGACCAGTTTCATAAAAGAAATGGAAGATAAGAATGAAGGAAATTGTTTGTTTGTGCTTTCTGTTGAGGTTTTATGAAAGAAAACAATGTACGAAACTTTTAAGAAAAGAAAACAAAAGGACTTTAACAGAATGGAATCCACAAACTCAGAGCGGACAAATGGACATTGATCAAATTCCTAAAAAGCGGATCATATTGGGTCGTTTTTTCTTTCCTTTACCAAACCTTTAATTTTCTTTTTATTTTCTATGAATCAGATCAGAATCTCATTCCCACCTACTCTCTCTCTCTCCTTAAGAGGGCAAAGAAAATCAACAAAAAGAAAGATAATAAGAATTCTTCTTAAAACCCTTGAAAAGGAAAAAATCACCCATTAGCCCATATCTCCTTGCTTGCCATCCAGGCTCTGGCACTTGTGTAAATGATGGAATATTTTATGAATAGAATTCTCATTTTCGTGACCTGTTGACTTGTTTCGCTTAGTATAATAAATCATTTAGCATTATATTACACTGAGCGGGCGAGATACCCGCAGTTATTAATGATAATAGGCTTCACGAGAGCATGAAATTCATGACGTCTTTTCCTATATTTATACTATACCATAAATGAAATAAATATTTATCACGGTGATTAATGACGTACGTTACTTTTTGTGTGTCATTGTCAAAGAATTAATCACAGTAACGTTGTTGGAAAACCAGATACTAGGGGCAAGCCTGCAACTAGGAGCACCGATCTATTTCAGTAGTTAAATGTAAATCAATGGATTGGAGATAAGTGACCACCACAACCACCAGCTCATAAATCTCATATGGCCCTAGTTGGTTCAAGATTTTGCTATTTTATCAAGTGGTTATACATATAGAAGAAAGTTGCTTTATATGAATCTCTAAATCATTATTGTTAAGATTTTGTCTTTATACTTTTGATGTTTTCAGCTTTGGTCCCCTTGATTGGTCCATCTTCTTGAAACGACCCTCTCCCTACTCTGCCAACAAAAGAGATTTTTTTTTTTTTTTTTTTTTAAAAAAAAGGAAAAGGAAAAGGAGCCATCCCTTCATTTATGTTGACATATCTACCTTCTCATCTCTCCTTCCTTAGAATTTATGGGTGCCTTTAATGAGTGGACAGCCATTGTAAGGTACATTATTCAAATCACAAATTCAAAGTGAATGGAGAGTATTTTCAAGTTTTCAAATTGAGACAGTTGAAAATGTGGACAAAATATCAAACTGTTGAGACGACAGTCCAAGAAGAACGATGATGAACTCAATACCCTATACTCTAGGGTGAGGGAAAAACATGAGGAAAAAGGTCAAATATGCTCCACCTACCCTATAGGTTTTAAGCGGCTTTCGAAGAACTAAGTCACAGGAAGATAGACCAATTATTTGAGAATTTGGGTTAATAGGTAATAGGAATGTCTAATACTGCTTTTCACGTGTTTGGTGGCTCACCATCAGAAGATTTTCTCGTGTCATACTGTCAATAATATAGCCTAATAGCCTTGTCATGCATTTGGGCATTCTTGTTTCTTAAGGACAAACCAAAAGAACAATATAAGGACAAACCACCACCAAAACTACTCAAAGTCAGAACTAAGAATTACAGTGTTCAAAAAAAAAAAACTAAGAATTACAATTTACAATTGCAAGGGGACAATTACAATCCCATGTCTTAAACTATGCTCACGGCTGGTTATTTCAATTTCATCAATTCCCTATTTAAACATCTTTTTCACTGTTATTTATATATGGAAAAGATGATTGTATTAAGTGTAAGTTATACGCTCTGTTTTGGATATTTTATTCAGGTTAGGTCGATTCACTAATTGAGAAACTTTATATTTCTAGGAAATTTTTGAGCCGCCGTCATATATAAGCATAGTCTTTATTTTTAGTGTAAAGTATTTTTTTTTGGGTCTTTAACAAAAATTATGGGCTCATTTTAATTCCTTAGATAAAATCGACTCGAGATATCTCTGAAATTCAAAGAATACTCAAATTAGTTTCTTGAAAGGATTAATATAGGTCTATTTTGAATTTTAAAGAGACCACGAGTCGACTTTTTTTTCTTAAAGGATTAAATTAGACCCCATGATATTTGTTGAGGACCCAAAGGTTCTTTACTCTTATTTTTATTAAAAAATTATCTCTTTTACCTTACATATTACACATATTATGCAAATACACCAACCATTGTTCCACCAAAACACTCGGTGGAGCTCCTAGTTGAATCACCATCAACTCTACTCCATTGAAACTCAAGCACAACCTTCCATTATGTCTAAGTAACCACATATGAACATTGGCGCCATCTATGGAAAGCAGGAAAATCTAACTCCCACACCAAATATGGTAACCACACTCTACCCGTTGGAAATAAATGAAGAGTTCTTCGCTTCTAACTCTTCAATAGTAAATATTTCTACACCCAAAAAGGATTATGAGTTTTACCAATAATTATAAAATAAGCTTCAACCCCCCAAATCACTCAGTGTTGATAATTATATAATCTTATGTTTAAATTTCAAACTTATTGTTATTGATATTCACAAATTTTGATTAGTATTGATATACATAGATATTACAACATAAATATGGGAAATAACAATTGGTCCAACAACAATTTTGACAATCTCAAGCAAGAAAAACCTTTTTTTTCCTCGAGATTTAGGCTCATGATCCTCAAGTTGACATTTTATATGGTTGAATGATTGACAACTTATATTGCTGGGTGGTCGGGATTTCATCAAATTGGAGAATGATATGCCTCAATGCTCAACTTATATGATCATTTGGTCAGGTGGTCGGTCGATCAACATTTCATCAAATTAGAGAGTAATATGCCTCCATGCTAGCATTTCACTCTATCGGTCGACATTTCATCTAAGCCACCAATAAGTGTATCTACTCGATAGCACATTTGTGCTTCATTCTTAAACTATTTACATCTTTTCTTTTGATTATGATTTTTTCTATAAACACCGTAACTGTTAGCATATTACATATTGTTGCAAGTTTGCATATTCCATGTTTTTAGGGTATTTACTACAATCCAAACTATGGGCAACGTAAAAGACCTAGCTCAGCTAGGCACACTCCAAGACCTGGCAGGGCTAGGCTCTAGCAAAAGACCTTGCTCAGTTAGGCACTCTCCAAGACCTGGTAGGGCCATGCACTCGCCAAAGACTTACATTGGCTTGGCGTTCTCCACTTATTCTCATGCGAAGGATTGTTTACAAGATCACCTCACCCACCCCACCATATATCAATTATAATTGATTGTTGAGTCCGAACTTGGTTAAGTATATTATTAATGTTATTAATTTCAAGTTAAAGTTGACATCTCAAGTTATTAACACATCCCTCTCTTTTTTCTTTTCTTTTATAAAGACTCCGAATATCATACATGCAAACAACACCTACAACCCCTGCAAAGCCCCCTGAGTCCATCATGAACCTCATCGACCATGGTAGACATATCTTACAAACTCGACACTTTAACAAGTGAAATATCAAGATGTGGGCTTCTGTTCTGGATATACTATCTAGCTTAGGCCCATTATGCTTTAGGCATATCCACTAATTGAGAAACCCTAGATCCCTAGGGGATTCATGGCAATTGCTATATATAAGCATGATCTTCATCCACGTTTATGAAGCAAAAAAGTTATCTCTCACTTTACACATTCTACATATTAGTTTTATTCACTTGAGCGTCGGAGAGTTTTACAACTGCACCACCCCTTTGTTCCACCAGAGTAGTTAGAGGGAGCTTCTCGTAGCAACCACCATCAATCCTACTCCATGGAAGCTCTAGCACAAACTCACATTATGTCCGGGTGACCAGATCTTAATACTCTAAACCTTAATCGTGGGCTTGACTTATATCTAAATGTTCATATGACTAACAAACTAGAGTTATTAAATACAATTAAATCAACCATTAAGATTTAGTATAAGACTTATTATTTATATATTTATTTTAATATCATTAAAATATTAATTACGACAACAATAACTTAAAAGATTAAATTAATTTATTAATAAATATATTGAATAATTTATAATAAATATATTAAATAATTATAATTTTTACATTAATCAAACTATTTCAATCTCATATCTAAAATTTCAAATGTCCCTCCCTTTTTTCGCTTGCCAACTTCCCTTTCATCCTCTCTCTCTTCCTCGAGGACATACACACACTTACAAAGCATGGGTTAAAAAAGGTAGCACAAAACCCTGATTAAGAATAAAATAATATAATAATAATTAAATCCAAAAGTTAGCTGCCAGGTTGAAGCATTTTAACACTCCGCACAAGAACAGAGGAATTTATTGTTTATTAATTGAACCATTAACATATAGAAAAGCATGCAGGTAAATGTAGGTCGGTTTAACTTGACCAACCCCCTACATTACATATTATATACAACCTCTTTAATATGCGAGGGTATCCAAAAATCCTGATCTCCACTCTGTTTCTCTGCATGTATTTTTCTATATCTTATAACCCACCATCAAATTAAAATATTTACTGCAGACCACCATCCACGGCTACTTCAAGAATTTGAGGATTCCCGTTGCCTGCAGAAAACAACATTTAGAAAAAGTAAATTTCATCTTTATAAGCCACTATACTACATTTTGCAAGTTTGCTAGTCAAGGTTTTCTTTGCTATAAACCATTTTATATATCAATTATTCTAGCCACTTAACTAGTTGTTGGGTTCAAGTGTCTTATCTAATTCAATTATATGCATTCTCTTATATTTCTAAAAAAAGAATGTCAGGTTATCCCTGAAACTCATCATTGGAACAGCTGGCTACGTAAGGTAGTAACGCCTTGCATAGTTAATCACGT